CTCTATTTTATATTTCTACTTTTACAGATATTTCTAGTTTTACAGATTTCAGCTGAATTTCATTGTGTATATTGGTGTACAGTGGATAGGTTGTACAGTTTCTTCCTGTGGTTGTCACACAGTTACACAGTCTTTCCACAATCTAATAATGCTCGGTCAGATTCTAGTTGAAGCTGGTGGGCTTTATAGTTTACATCTCATGGGATGGGATGGTGAGGCTACCAATTGCTCAACAACTTTATTTTTATTTATTTATTTTATTGAGTTTTTTAATACTTTATTCGATATGCAAGCAGATACAACAGTGCCTGTATCGCCACAGCAGCATCAGCAGGCTCAATGTTTATGATCATGATATAGTACGGTGGCCAGCTGGGTTTATCTATAGTATTTCACAGGAGAATAACAAGTCAATACAAGTGTTATAGCAAATAATAACTGTTCGAGTAATTACATTGCATTACAGGGCTCAGCAGTTGGTCCTTGAGCAAACGTAGGCCGTATCAGACCAAGTGCGTCTCTGATAGGTGTGCAGCTAGGTGATATTTTACTCGTGTACCCTCTAGTGGGGTGGCGTGTAGTATGTAGGGTGGAACCTGCGAGAGGTAGGAGTCAAGTGCGCTAGTGTGTTGCCCTGTAGGGAGGTAACTGGGAGAATTGGGAGTATATCTGCTTGATTTGGAGCAGCGTTGGCAGCGTTGTTTCGATTGTTCTGGTCACCATGTGGTGGCGTGGGTGGTGCCATGTTGGGGAGAATAACTGTTGCTCCTGCAGACGCTGTGCAGCAGGCTTGAGGGGTTGGGTTTAGTAGGTGGGGAGGTGAACCTGGGGCATGGGGGGGATGATGGGGGCAAGGCATGGCACATCTGTCTTGTTTGTTTTGTCCGTTTTGTGCATTTTGTGCCGACACCAATGTGTCTTGGAGGTTAGAGTGTGAGTTGTGAAGATAGTGGAGGGTGGGAGGAGGGTCAACCAACAAGAGGGGTTTGGGAGATCAGTCCCCATTTTGTGGGTCTTGTGTATCCTGTGTGTGGTTCCTTCAACCTCTGTGTCTGTTGCACAGAATTGTGTTATTTGTTGGTCATGAATGTGTCCCAAGGATCCCAAACTTCCTGGAAGAGAATCTGTTTGTGGGTGATGGAGGCATGAATTTCCTCTATGTTCCTGAGTGTGTCTACTCTTGTGATCCATTCCCTGATCGATGGGGCGGTTGGGTTTTTCCATTTTACAGGGATGAGCAGGTTGGCAGCTGTTACAAGGTGTGTGAGGAGAATTCGTTGTGGTTTGGGGAGGGGATGTGGGAGTATCATAAACAGTAGTGTTTGCGGGGTAAGGGGCAATTGAATCCCCGTTATTGTCTTGATCATTTTTACTATATTATTCCAGTATTTCTGGATAGTTGGGCAGAGCCACCATGTATGTGCTAGGGAGGCTCCTGGTTGGGAGCATTTCCAGCAGGCATCTTGTGAGTTGGGGAAAAGGTTATGGATTTTGGATGGCGAGTAGTGCCATCTGGAGATTCTCTTATAGTTACCCTCTTGAATAGCAGTGTAGAGTGAGGTGGTGTGTGTTTGACGGAAAATGGTCTTCCATTGGGGAGTAGTGATTTGAATACCTAGGTCTGTGGACCATGAGTCTGTGAATTGAGGTAGTGTGTAGTGATGGTCAGACCCGAGGAGTTTATAGAATGTTGAAAGTTGTTTGGTTTTAACGTTATTCGACTTACAATGTATCTCGAAATCTGAGAGAGTATGGGAGCCCCCATGGAGTGTGGAGTTGTCCCTTATGAAGTGGGTTACCTGTGCATAGTGGAGAGTTAGCATGGTCATGGGGACTTATTGTCCAGTTAAACTAGTCAGGGAGCGGATGCGTGTCCCTCTAACATGGTGCTTAACTGGAGGTAAGTCTTATCAGGTGTGTTTTGGAGGTGTTGGTATGTCTTGGCCTGCGGACCTGGTGGAAAGAGGGGGTTGTATGTAATGGGGTATAGGGGGGATGGGTGGGGAGATATACCAGCTGTTTCCCGTATTAGTGTCCATATCTGGGGTGTAGGCAGGATCGTGGGGTGCGTGGCGTGGCTTGAGAGAAGCTCAGAGGGAACCGCTTTTTGCCACGGGATTGTGTGTAGGGGGACAGTAAATACGGAGCTTTCTAGCTGAGTCCATTGCCGGATTGGGGGATGACTCGACCATTCGTAGACCCGCGATAGAATGACAGCTTTGTGGTAGCTCTCTAAATGTGGCAGCCCCAGACCACCTCTGGGTTTGTGTCTGGTGAGAGTTTTGTATGTGATTCGTGGCTGTTTATGTGCCCATATGAAGGTTGTGAACAGTTGTCTGAGTTTGGTGAAGAATGCCCTGGGTATAGCTATGGGTAGGGTCTGTAGTAGATACAGGATCTTGGGGAGGGTGTTCATTTTGAAGATATTGACTCTACAGAGCCATGAATACTGTGGCTTGTGCCAAGAGTGGAGGTCCTTAGAGATCGATTGGAAAAGTGGTTCAAAATTAATGTCAAATGCGGTTGACAGGTCTACCGGGAGTTAAACCCCTAAGTACGTTATAGCCTTATCCGCCCAAGTGAACGGGAACTTCGCTTTGAGGGAGGACCGAGCTTGGGGGGTGGTCAGTTTGATTGGAAGGATTTCGCTTTTGGTAAAGTTAACTTTGAAGTTTGAGAGTATTTGGTATAGTGATATTTCCTCTAGTAGTGGTGGAAGGGAGGTGTCTGGCGATTGGATGGTGAATAAGAGGTCGTCAACAAAGGCTGAGATCTTGTATTCCGTCTCTTGTACCCGTATGCCTTGCATGTCTGAGTTA